AATCGTGCTAAATTTTGACGTAATATAAATCCTTAATTACTCTCTTTTATCAGTAAGACAAACTTGCAGAATATCAATCTGCTTAGTAACCTTTCCTTGAAATTCAATTTGTTTGACTATATATCTTTTAGTTTCGTAACAAGCACTGAAGTCTGGACCCTTGTGAATGTTTTACTGACTTATTTGAACAGTACTTTTTATTATTTGTACCCTTGTTTATGCTTCGTGTGCATGCTACCGATTCGACGTTGACGCTCCAAATTTGATTATGCTGATGGCCACCAGATTCTGAGCCTCTGTCGTTTCTGAAAATGTTAGGTAATGTTTATCGGCTGTTTGGTCCTACACTCAACCACGTACTCTTCGCTATACGCCTATAACTAGGTATAATTAATTAAAAGTGTATTTGAGTTTGTCACATACTTTCATGGATTTTGATCAATCTATGCAGGTATACACACGCATGCATCTATAAACAAGTTAATACCACAATAATCTACGTTTTATTATTTAGGTACACAAACAAAACAGTATACAACACAAGAACAAACATATGCACATGTAAGTGTTCTAATTACGATCAATACGACGAGCAGCTAGCTCCTTCAGAAAATGATGAAGTTCAATACACATGTGCTTAGAAAGCGTATACATGATCACTCAATTATAATAAAATGAATGATAAGTACATTCTTCATTCATTGTCATGACAAGCAAAACACAAGATTAATTTTTGTTGACTTTTTGTTGCTTCATATTTGAGATAGAAGCTTCGCCATGCACGGCCGTGGCCGACACTTAGTTTGCAATGGACGAACCTTCGATAAGGTGATCCCAAGCCTCTCGGTCATGTCCATCTTCTCGTTAATGTCCCAATCAAAACACTGAACAAGTGTTGCCAAAGTTAGTCCAATGGTACGCATGGATAAATTCTCACCAGGACAACCCCTCCTCCCGGACCCGAAAGGAAAGAATTTGAACCCATCTCTCATCCCGGCACAATCTCTAAACCTCTCGGGCTTAAATCTCATGGGCTCATCCCATATGTTAGGGTCATGTTGTATGGCCCACACATTGACCAATAACAGTGTGCCACGTGGTATACGAAAGCCGCCGACT